GGTGGCGCCGCTGGCAGCCCCGCGTGTGGGCGCTCTTCGAGGACCCCTACTCGTCGCGGGCCGCCAGGGTGAGCGTGCTGTCGGAGCCCCCATCCCTCTCCCCTCCCCACGCGCTCCCGGACCCTCAGGAGGTTCCCATCTCAACTCTCGGGGTCCCCTGGCCCATCCCAGCCCCTCCTGGTCTCCTCTGCCTCCCAGTCTCTTAGAAGCCTCTAACTCCAATCCTGGGTGTCCTGTACTCCTCTGAACGTATGCCCTTCTCCCGGCCATTCCCAGATCCTCAGAAGACGTTCCTCCAACCTTCAGAGTAGCCCAGACCTACAAACCCAACCCCGCTTCTCTAGGCCATCCCGACCCTTAAAAACTTCCTCCTGGTCTCCTGTGAACGACCTCACCTGCGCCTTTCCTGAACCCCTCAGAGGTCCCCAGAAGACCTTTCCCCGACCCTCAGAGTCATCTGACCCCCTTCGCACCTCTCTTGGCCGACCTTCGGACCTCCCGAAGGCCCCTCTCCAGCTCTTGGTCCCTCCGGGTCTCTCAACACCTCCCTGCTTCTCCTTTTGCCTCTCTCCCTGTCCCTCTCCGCCCCCCAGTTTGAGTCTCCTGGCTATTTTTGAATCCCCTGCTCTCACAGCCTCAGAAGACTCCTCCACCCCAATCTCAGAGCCTCCCGGACCCCTCTGAACCTCCAGTTCCCCTCCCCCTCACTGCAACAATGAGTCTCTGGACATCTTTCCTCCTGGGACCCTCTGGACCCCTCTGTGTTCACATCCCTTTTGCATTCTCCACGCCAACTCCCGTCCCAAGACTCTCCCCATAAAGCTGCAGACTTCCCCAAAGCCTTTCACACTCCTCCCCAGTATCTGCAGAAGAGTCCTGAGCCCCTAATATGCCTGTCCTCTCCAGAACCTCCCATATAGTCTTCAGAACTGCTTCCTCCTCACCCATAGATTCTCCTGGCTTTGGTCTTCTGTCCTTCACCTGTGAGGCCACTCTGTCCCTCCCCCCACAGCCCTCCCCCAGCCTCCCAGCCCCTTTCCTAGTCAATCAATGACTTTCCCTCCTCTTCCCTCCAACCTCGGGACCTCCCCCAAGTTATCGGCCCCAAAACTTCCTTCTCAAAACAGCCGTTCGTTCTTTCTAACCTACCTTGGTATCTTTCCATCTGCCCCCAGCCCTGCCTGCTCCCCCTTTCCCAAGCCCCGCTCTACACACAGCCCCAAGTCCAGGACTGGGCTCCTCAGCTTCCTTCCCCCACGTAGTGAACCAAAGAGCTCACACCCCGGCCTTATCTCCCTCGAAATTCTAGATTTTCCCCAAAGCTCTCTTCCTCTCCCCCTAAAAAAAACTTTCCTCAAACATTTGTAACTTCCCAGGCTAAGTAGCTACCGTTCCCCCTGGTTCTCCCTTGAACCTCTTCCTCCTCCTAACTGCCTCCCCCTGTTGGAAGAGAATAGGGCAGTGTAAAATGGGGGGGAATTAGAAAGAGAGGTAAAGGATAGCGACTCCGGGGCCCACTCCTAGCCTCCTGGGGACCGAAGCACCCTGAGGAGCCGGTCCGGACCCCTCCCCCCACCGTGCCGCGTCCTGAGCTGGGAAGGACGCCGCAGTGCCGCATTCAGGCCGGGGGAGGGAGTGAGGGGGAGGGGGGCCCGGAGGCACCGCATAAAGTTTGGTCCCCTGGAAGCGCTGAGTTGGCGAGATTTGGGATTGGGTGGGGGGAGGTGGGGGGGGAACGAGGTGCAGAAGGGACGTGGTCCTAGATACCCTGTCAGGCCTCCGAGTGGTCCTCTCCCCTCATGGCCTGGGGCGCCCCTCCTTGTGACCCCATTGAAGGGTGCTGAGGTTAAGGCCCGGGACAACTATGGGGGAGGGTGGTCATTCATTTACTCCACAAATGTTTTTGGAGTGTCCGCGGCATGCCAAGCACTTTCCAGCCGTCGAGTGAGCTAGCTTGGTAGATTGGGAGCTGAGGCCAATGCAAAGTGGAGGGTCCGGCCCTACCTGCCTCCCCTCTCCCTTCCACTTTCCTTCTTACGGGGACTTCATGCCCTCCTACCCCTTCTGCTTTTGAACCATGTCGGGGCAAGGGGTTAAATCAGCCCCGACGCTGTTCAGCCTCCACAGCTGCGCACTGCGGCGGTGCCCACCTCCGTTTCTGTGCCCTGGGCGGGTAGGAGTTAAACTCCCGGCCCGCGGCCTCCGGCTGTGAAGCGGCGGCACTGCGGCTGCGCGCTGCGCGCTCAGTTCCGGCCCCAAAGGGGTTAAGGCAGCTCCCGGCC